TTTAAATTATGGTTTGTTTTAAATATTTTAGACATATGTTTTAAACGTCTGTTTGCTTTTTGTTGGCTTGAAAGAAGAAAACAAAAAACAGGTTAAACTGTCCTTCTCTACAGGAAAGTTTACACATGATGTTCATCATTTGGTAGCAGGATAATTCGGGGATGCTTGGCATTCATCTTAGATCCTTTGCAGATACCCTGTTTCACATGATGCCATCTTGAAAAGTTAAGTTGGCAGCCGGGAGAGACAAGTGCTTTTTATGTTGCAGTGCTACAGTTGTCTGGAATTCCCTCCCTCGGGAGCCTTCTTGGTCCAAACTTGGGTTTTCTTTGGAAAGAATGTGAATACCTTTGTCTTTCCGAGGGTTCTTTTTATTGTTTATTGTGTGGTCTTACTGTATTTTATGATAGTACAGCAGATCACTGATGATTTTCTGTTGATAACAAGAAACATGCCTTGCATCTGAATGTTAGAGACAGATAAGACAAGTAATAGATATTAAAGAGTAGACCACAATATTTTGAAAGGTTCTAATTCCCCTGGCCATCTTGCAAACAGGGCTAAGCTTGAGTTTGAACATGAAATAAAGAAATTGTGTTCTGAACATGCCCAGCTAATTTTGTTGCAATAACTCATCTCCAAGGGAGATATAATATTGTAGGCTCTTTGTCTTGCTGCCTTTCAAAACAAATGTCTGTTGTGGGAAGGGACAATTATATTCCTAATTGTATATGTACAGTTTCGCTGTGATCTCTCAGTCTTTAAGTCAGATACTGCACTGTGTTGAGGTTTACACATTAAAAACAGGTATGACAACTGCACAGAAAATGCAGAGTGTTGTCTTGAATACACATGCCAGCTTTATCTCTGCCTTCAAATTCTAGACATTTTTCTAGCCCTCCCACCAGAAAATAAGCTTCATGGAGCAGAGGGCTATCGGTGGCGCCCAGCTTTGCGGGCTATGTGCTACCTCTTTTACCAGATGTGACCTTGCCAGCACACACCAGTTGCTGTGGAGCTTGGGCAGGAGGAGGTCGTGCCCCCATCCTGATTGAGGGATCCTGTGGGCGGCTGATTTGCCACCGTGTGTGTGGAGTGCTGGGCTGCAAGGCTTTTCTTGTGTTCTTATGGCTAAGCTGCAGTTCACACCTGAACTTCCATGTGGTGCTTCAAATGTGCCACCAGCGTTAATTCTGATGACTTATTCATCAAGGCGTTAGGACCTGGCATCCTTGGGCAGCTGCCAGCATATCAACAGGACCCATTGTGAATCAGTATCCAGGGGCTCCACATTGTTCTCCTCCTCCTCCTCCTCTTCTGCAGGAGGCACCCTGATCAATGCCTGGCACTGGTATCTCAGAGCTGCCACTTTTGTCCCACACAGAGCCCCCAGTGCAGTGTTGCTCCAGGTAATGGAGGGAGTTAGAGGAGCAGGTCCCAGGCATCTGGACCATGGCTGAGCCCTGCTGCTCACTGGTGCTGCCACCAGGGGAGCCTACTGGGTCTTACCCATATAGCAGGGAACCCATCGGGGAGCTCTTTGCAAGAGGTGTCCCACAAACGTGTGTCCAGACTCGGCTTGCACTGCATTGCATTTCAGGCCATTGTCTCCTTGAAAACAAGCATGCAGGTTGCACTGACAGTCTTAGTTCAAATGCAGAGTACTTTGCCCTGAACTTTGCCTTTATTCTGGAACACCAGACTTTACAGTAATTGTTGAGTTACATGGGCCTTTACAGCCTCCCAGACCACCTTGGAAACAGGTGCGGGGAGCTTGGAGGTTGTGCATGAAACAAAGAACATTGTAGCAGATTTGCACATGAACTTTGCCTCTGATGGCTCACTGTCTAACAGAAGGACTGCACTGTACTTTTCTTCTCCCCTTGAAACCAGGCGTAGAGGCTGAGCTACTATTTCTTTAGAGGCGTAGCATGTGCACACACCAAGTCTCCTCCCAACTATCTCAAATATCACTGGACTTCTTGTATTACTAATAAACTGACCAACTTATAAACGGAATGCCAAATGACTGAGTTAAATCAAAGTCTTCATGTTTTATTCGGATGAGAGCAAACACAGAACTGCTCATGGCAAGTGCTCTATCACTTCAAAGAGACATATTTTCCCAAGAATTGAAGCTAGTTTGAATACTTTCACTTGCATGTTGAGTAACTGAATAATGGGGTATCAAATAAAAACCCCCTATGCATTACAGGGTTTTTTTTTAACAAACAAAGGGAAATAACATCCATATTCTTGCCACATCTTCAAGTCAGCTTTCCACAGGAGGACAGAATTTGGGTTGTGCGCTTCTTTTGTGTTAGTTTCCCTCATTCCCGCCTTCTTTCTTGTGTTTCCAAGAGAAATTCTGAGATAATGAATACTTCATATAACATTCCAGAACATTCATGACGACAAATGGTTCTCACAATTTCCATGAGACACTGTAGGTAAGTGCCGATTTCTACTATGCACCGTGTGCATACTGTACTCAGGTGCCCCCTGCCCTTGATCCCGTGTCTAGGCAGAGTAGGGCTGAGAGTAGTTGTAGCCAAAACGCATGGAAGACAGCAAGCTGCCATCCCCCGTTTTATTCTCATGCCACACTTCCTTGGCAGTTTCTATGCCTTAATAGCTGCATAATGGAAATAAATATAGTGGCATAACTTTCACTATCAGCAAAAGAATTTCACTGCTGAATTGCTGTACCTATCACACAGGTGTAGATGTCATAAGAGCCTTCTCCTAGAACTCTAATTTGATTTTTTGGGGAGGGGGTGAGAGGATGGATGAGTGATAATTAATACAATATTAATTTTGGTTTCAACTCCACACTTTTTTTTAGTTTACCAAATTACTTTGTCATCTGCAAAAATGCATTTTATTTACATTCTGTTTAGGCCCACAAAAATATCCACAACAGCATCTTAATTGCTTCAAATTTTCTAAGTTGCCATATTTTGAAACAACTACTTTTAACCTTTAGGCTGTGATCCCATACACGTTTACCTGGGAAAGAGTCACAGTAAATGTATCCAGGCTTCATTGTGAATGCACATATCTAGGATTGCCCAGTTGGAGTACCTCCTACTCTTAGAGCACTTGAATAACAGGGCAAAAAAGGTGGCTGGCCCCCTTCTCTTTGTTATGGCCTTGCAGGTATCTTTTTAAAAAGGATGCAGAAGGACCTAAAGCTGGGCAGATTTAGGGGATGCAATACGTGGGTTTCATTAAGCCTCTCCATTGTTCGTCCCATATTTCAAACCACAGCACCCCCAAAACATGAACAAAAAGTTAAAGCTCTGGTCTGTAAAACACACACACACACCCCAAACTTAAGGCTGCAGGCCTTTATCAGAGAGAAAGATTTATCCAACTCGGTGGGACTTGCTTCGAAGTGGACAGGTATAGGATCGTGCTGCAATCTGCAATCCTATGCACAGGTACCTTTCGTTGTATCTTGAGTTACCTGTTCCTCGGCAGATCAAGAGCCCGGTGTATCTACACATATTTCAGGGGCTGAGACAGTGAGAAAATCTGGACGCTAACTTAAACCCAGTTCACTTTCTTCTTTACCCTCTTCCTACCCCAGAGGCTCAGCTTGGCCCACAACCTTCCAGAAAATTTTTATGACGTGTCCTTTTCCGGAATTACTTGTGGACGGCGTGTGCCCGTGTGCGCGACCCGGAGGTCGACTCTCTGCTGCGACTCAGCCAGGGCAATCGACTGGGCGAAGGGGGAGGAAGACGAGGAGGAAGTCAAGGGGAGGAAGGAGGCCCTTTGGCCTTAGCCCCGCGAAGGAGAGGCGCTCGAGAGGACGGGCACGTGTCCCCAGCAGCCTGTCGCGGGCTTTCCCTGCCGCTCGGAAAACTCAGTGGCCAGTGTGGATTGGGGCGGGGGCTGGGAAGGCGTTCGGGATTTGCATTCTTGAGCCCCCTGCTGACCAGGCGTTTCCCGCCCCCCTCTTGGGGCTTGGCACTCCCCAGGCTGCCGGCAGCCCTGGCGCTCGACGCCCTCCGCAGCCGCCACCCCTCACCTCCCCGGCAGTCCACACAAGCGCTCCAAGAGCCCCGAAACCCTCCGCTTCCCCCTCAAGCGGGGCCGGGAGAGGAGCCGCCTCCTGCTCCTCGTCGCCTCCAGAAGACAAACTTTCGCCCTCCCGAAAGGCGGCTGCTGGGACAAGGGGCATCCTTTTAGTGACCAAAGGGGCATCCTTTCGTCCCCGCTGCAACCCGGCTTCTGCATGCAGAGCCAGAACAGTCGTGTGTGCTTGTGCGCGCTCGCGTGGCAGCGCAGGGGCGATCCCAAAGAAGTAGCAGTTTGGGGCTCCAAGGAGTGGGTGGGGTGACGAAGCCCCTTCCATGCCCTCCGACTAACTTCCTCTCCCATCTTTGCCCCCCACCCCCGCCTCGCACGCATGGAAACTTCCAATGGAGAACCTCCCACCAGGGGGCTGGAAAAGTTGGAGCGCCGCTTTGCTCTCCTGGAATCAGCAAGTCCCCCTGTGCAAGTAACCGCTGTCACTCGTGCGTGTGTGTGCGTGTGTGTGCGCGCGCGCGCGTGTGCGTGCGTGTGGGGGGGCGGGAGCGCAGCGCTCGGGCAGAGGAATATGCACCTGGAGGTTTGTTGTGGAAAGCCGCGTTACCTGGCAAGGGGATGCCGCTGCCATAGGAACTTTGCTCGCCCGGGCACAAAAGGAACCCGCGGCCTCGCGCTCGGCGCAGCGCAGCGACGGGACGGGACGCGCGGCCGGACCACCGCCGCTCCGCCCGCCGCAGCCCCGAGAGGAGCCGGAGCGCCCGAACGCTGCGCCCCGGCGGGACGGAGCCCCCTTCGGCAGCCGGGCGCCCGCGGGAGAGCGTGTGCGCGCCTTCGCCCCTGCGCCCGACGAAGGCGCCCGAAGCGAGCGATGGCGTAAGGGAGCGCAGCGCGTACGTTGCTTTGAGGGGGCGGTGGCCGGAGCTCCGGCGCTGAGCTCGGTCGAAGACAGCCGGGCAGCTCGCGATTACTCTGCTTTCTATTACGGGAAGGGGGCGGTGAACGAACAGCAAGCGGCTCTCCCGGGAAGGCTTTTCAAAGGGAACCCACCGCCTCTGCAGTTTGTAGCGCTAGCGCGTAAACTTTTGCCCTGTTTCGAAAAGGGGGCACGCTCCCCATGTAAGTACAACAAAGCCTGCTTTCCTTTCCGCACCCGGGGAATGGCACCGGCCTTTCCGTATCTGCGGCCGGGACGTGCCGGTGTTGGATCGCGCGTTCCCCCCGTTGCGTGTCTGAGCGCAGAGCGCTGCCGTGCCTTCCCAGGCAAAGTGGGGTGCGCGTTCTCCCCCCCCCCCCCACCCCCAGCGGCTCGCTGGTCTGCCTGACTTTCTCCTTCCTTGCACTTCTTGTTTCGTGATGCCAGGTCCCTTTTGCAGTTGGGGCTCCGGATCTCGCTTTCTTGTCTCATTTTCAGCCTCCCTCAAGTTATTGAGGAAATGGGAGGGAAGAGACAAGAGTGCCTGAAAAAGTTGAGACAAATATTCCCTTCGGGAGATTTGTCATCTCGTGGATGATTCGGCGGAGTCCGCTAGAAAAGCGCGTAACTTCGCCCTCCGCTCTTGCCGTGCTTTTTCTCGAGCGAGCGCCGCGTTTGCTCGCTGCGCGTTTTGTTCAGACGCCGTCCGCGTCGTGTCCGTGCGCTTAACGCCCCGGTCTCCCCTGCACGGTGTTTTTAGGCATCTGGACTGTAGACACTTCGCTGCAATTTCTTTTAACTAGGAGAGCAATTTCAGGGCTGGCAGCCTGGAGGTTATTCTGCTGATATTTCTCACTCTGGAGTCCCTTTGCGCTCCCACTTAGTTCCACACTGATGTATGCAGTGAGTTTACAAGCGCGCCCAGGGATGGTTTTGTGTCCTTGGGTAAGTGACTGAAAGTGACTGCTGCAGCTTTTCCCTTTCAAGGATTCCTCTTGGGACATGCAGAAGTAAGCTCATGGAACACAACTGTACCAAGCCAACTTTTCTTCTAGGTTCTAGGCAGTGCTTTTGTTCCCCTCCACTGAGCAAACCTTAGCTCCCTATTTCAGAATCTTGGAGCATGTGAAGTAATACTGGCTGTTAGGCAAGAGTGCCATTGAGCATGCCCAGAGTGCCATTCTCCTGTAACAACCAGCCCTCCACTGCCACATCTTGGACTGCAGAAATGCTTTCCAGGGCAGAGTGCCCAAATTGCAAGGCTACCTTGATTCCTGTGAATGCCTGTTAGAAAAATTAACTTCACTGACAGTCCTTTTCCAGTAAGATCTGGAGAGGACTGTGGTTCTCTCTGTGGAGACAAATTCCCATTAAGTCAGTGGGGGCTGAATGGTGAAGCACTCCGTTCCTCTCCAGGAAAGGCCACTGCGAACTCAACTGCTTATTTGGAGCAAAGGAGGCCAAGTGGCAAAACACAATCCAAAGCATCTTTACCCAGCAGTAAACGCCACTGAGTAGAACCAGCCCAAGATACTTTGGTGCCTGGGGCAAAGGACCTTCCTCATCTCCATGCACAAAAGCTGCCCAGGATGGAAGCTGAAACTTATTTGAGCATAGAGGACTGGACAGCTGCTTTCGCTACACCTGAAGGCAGCAGGGAAGTGAGGCTGGGAAGGCCACGGGGTGCGCACAGCTCTGCCTTCCCACACCTCGCTGCCACCCCCCACAGTGCCTCGCGCTGCCCAGTGGTAGGACCATGCCTGCCACTGGGTTCAATGGAAATGACTTTCTGAAAGGTGCGCAGGGTTGCATGTGGAGGAGGCCGTCACTGTGCTTTTGTGGTCATGCGAGCAAAGAAGACAGTATCACACTCTCAGAATGGCTTGGAAATCTAGGAGAGTAAGCATGGAAGTTACATAGCCAGAGGCTACTGAGACCTAGCTCAGATGTAGCCTTTGTAATTTAGGAACTGGTTTGGTCCTGTACTGTTCTGGCAACTTCTTGAGATCCACATCATGTGGATTCCCCTTGTGTCAGTGGCTCCAAAGAAAATGTGAATAACTCCAGTGCTCAAAGTCTAAGTGCTCAGACAAGGGCTAGTATCTCTTGCAGAAGTCCCCTCAGATGGTCTTCTTAGGAGTTTAGGCAGGCCTTGATTTGACTAAAGTTGGGAGGTGGAACTTATGGGTTTCATTAAGAGTTCAGCCATATTCAAGACATTCTCTCTCTGAGGATAAGAAACAGGTGAGGAGAAGGGCATGCTAGCTCTGCCCCTACTGCTGTCCTCTACTCACAGAGGGGGACTTGCTGAAGAGGAGAGGTGCCTACCTCTGTGAGGCTCTCCATCTGAGGATGCTGGAAAAGCAGTGTTGCAGGTGAAGGCTTGTGACCAATGCAGTGACCAGGTGAGGGTGGGAAAGGCTAGCATGCGCCCTCTCCTTAGCCGCAGATATAGAACACCCCAATAAGTCTGCTCCCTACCTTTTCGCCCTTAATTCAATTGCTGGGATACAGGTGTGTGGACTGAGTGAATGCTAATGTTACCCTGCAGTGTGTGCAAAAGTGAAAATGAGGAGGTGGCATATATTTGAGCTTGACCGGAGAAGCATATCCCCATCTCCATAAATTCCATGGCATGGTGTTTTTAATTGGGTGCAATGCTGGAAGTGTTCATTTGACTGCACCCAAGGGACCATGCTTTTTAAATTCTTAAATCCACATGCATATCTCTTCCTTTGCCATCACTTTACAGCAGAATGAGATGATTGTCACTCAGCGTGTGGCAGAAAATAGAGCAAAGTCAGTTGAAAGCCCTGCTTTTTAAAGAACCGTGCTTTTTTGTAATCTGGACATAGTTAGGACCAAGCTGGAAGTATGAGGCTTCTGTTATGCCTTCACTAATCAGTGGCCGCACACACCTGCTCTGGACCTCAGGGAGCAGCACTCTTGCATGGGATGTTGCACATTCCCTTGATACAGATTTTCCCATCCCCCACCCCTTTTCTAGCACTGCCAAGAAAAAAAGGTAATTTTTGCGTTTAGATGCTGTACCTGTCTTTCTTTCCTTTGCGGTTTTGATAATAAGGCTACATTGAGAGGAAAGTTAAATGCCTTCTCCCAGATCTGCTGCTTCAAAAGAGTCGCTTGTGGCTGCTAATTAGAATAGGGGTTTTTAACACTTAACTGGAGATCTCTCACATTATGCCTAGTTTGACCTCACGCATATTACTATTGTAATGAAATAAATGTCAGAAAGGAGTGGTAGGAAATGCTTACTGGAGAATAAAGTTATTGCTATACTTTATGTATCACCACTGATTTGATTTGGAATTATCCATGTAGGATCATTTTTAGGAAACAGCGCCACAGACTGTCTCATGGCTGAAACAATTGATTTCCCAGGCACTGAGGCCTGGGGTCACCCAGCTTCAGATCTTGAACTTGCTTTAACTCTTCTGGAAGGTTCAGAGGAACAATAGGGAGGAGGATACTCCTGGCCATGTACCAGGTTTCTTTCCCCCATACAGAGTGCCACAGTCAGCTTGTCCATACATTGGTGTAAGGATTAGAAAACTGGATTTCCAAGTTGGTGTAGCAGCCTTTTCCAGTCGCAGTGATTGGGAATTGTGGGAGTTGTGGTTCAAAGCATCTGGAGGGCACTATTTTATTTATTTTATTTATTTATTAAAACATTTTTATGCCGCCCCATTCGCCGAAGCCTCAGGGCGGCTTACAACACTAAGTTAAAATAATTATAATATAAATCAAAAATATAAAGACTGGGAAAGGCAGCAGTTTAGTTAATGTGCTGGCCTAAGCATTAGAGACATAGAAACCTTGGCTATATTAGGAGAAATGACTTCTGAAAATATGATGAACTGATGTAGAAAAAGGACAGAATGAACTTAAGACTGGGAAAAAAATAGAAACAGAGAGACACCGAAGCTGACAAATTCTGCCATTCCTGGAATATTTCCTCATGCTTTTAACCTCATGAATATGTGGACAAGCTCACTGTAATACTGCTGCTAGTACATTGGCTTGCAACTGGATTTTTCTTCTTTGCAACCTGCAGTTTTTGATGCCAATGAATATTGCCTTGTAAGTTCGTTGACTGAGTTTGGAGACAGAAGTGCAACTTCTGTCTGACCATAATCTTTAAGTATATTCCACCTACTCTGTTGTGGCCTTGTGATTAGTAGCCATAATTAGTAGTGTAGACACAAGTTGTAGCATTTGACCACCATGGGAGCTTTCAGACGGAAGGCTTCTAGTCAAGAGGCAATGTGCAACTGCCATTTTTTCCTCCTCATCTGAATTTGCTGAGAAAGAGAAAATGCAGAAGTAGTAGTGTGAAGACATGGGAAGGTTGCAAGTGGAGATGGATAACCTGGTCCCATAAAGCTCCAGGACAAGGTTATGGCACAACAACTAGTCTGAAAGCGTATTGTGTCGCAGACTGGTGTACAAATCTCAACAAATACAACTCCATTCTGTTCTGTACATGTGTAGTTATGATTACTAAAACATAATTACTAATATAATTACTAAAACATAATTACTAATAATACTATTAGTAATACTAATGACAACTTGATGAACAAGAATGGAAAGGCTAGTACAGATGAGGTCAAGTTTTTGTGTTAATGACTGTTCACACAAGTAAAAAAAAACTTGCTCATTGATATTATTCTTTCATGGGTGAAGATTAGACAGATATGGGCAAATAGAAGAGTCCTGTCTTCAAGGCTGTTTGCAGCTGAATGGGAAATGTGCTTTTCCTAATTCAGAGACAAGAGCTTAACAAACAGAACCAGCAGCAAAACGTCAGCAGAGGCCAGATTGTTCCTGCACAGTGTTCAGGATACTCCATTCCACCCCATCTGCCACCTCCATTCCGTGACCTCTCCCATCTTCCACCCTCCCACCTCCCATCCCAGTTTGCTCTCAGTGGGCACTGAGCATTCTCTTCCTCACTGGATTGTTTTCAAGACTTAACCATTTCTATTTTTTTAATTCTGCAAAACTTGTGTTCTTCCACTCCTGTTGACACCTCCCTTTTGTGCATGGATAGCAATTGATACTTAGTTCTGAATTAGAGGAAATGATCTTGCAGCCTTGTTAAATATTACCGTTTTATTTCATTTTGCAAAACCTTCCCCACCACTCCACCCACATATCAGGACACTATAGCCCTCTCCCTCAGAAGCAGAGCTTCATAATGGGGAATGAGCCAGTAGAAATGACTAGTATCAACATTGCTAATAGATTATAACCCAGTGCATTTAATTCAGTCATTTTGATTTTATTTGTTGAGGACTCAAGCAAGAGTTTGGTCTTCCTTCCCTACTGCAGGTGGTAAATTACACCAATGAAGTAAGAAACTTTTGCTATCACCAGCTATTGCTGTTCTGTTTATCCTGAATATACTTAATCTTTTCATTTATAAGTTGATTGATTGATTGATTTATATCCTGCCTTTTTCCTTCAAAGGGCTCAAGGCAGCTTACATCATTCTCCTCCTCCATCTTATCCCCACAACAACAACCCTGTGAGGTAGGTTGGGCTGAGAGTCTGTGACTGGCCCAAAGCCACCCAGTTGGCTCCATGGCTGAGCGGGGACTAGAACCCAGATCGCCTGAGTCCCAGTCCCATGCTCTTAACCACTACACCACACTGGCTCCCATAAATTAATAGCAGGTATAAATAATAGCAGGTAGTCCACAAAAGTCTGTGTCACAATATATTGATGCTTGCTTAAGGTGTCACAGAGTCCTTTTTGTTTTGGTCTAAGACTCTGGCATTTTTACTAGACTGGCCAATATTAGGATCAACCTGAGTCATTCGTGTAGCCTGAGTCATGTCACTGAGTCAGTCCAGTAAATAGCTAAAGGAAAATCCAGTGTATCTGTGAGTAAAGGTGGTGAGGCTGATGGAATTTTTGCATGCAAACTGAAGTAGACATAAGGTCAGGCTGTTGTGTCACGGAATGATGGGTACCTAAACGGAGGAGAGCTACAAACTGGGTCGGCCATTTCCTTGCGTCTGTCACACTGCCCACAGTGCTTACCATGATGGTGGTAGTGATGTTGATGCAGCTGCTGAAGCACCTCTGGATGGGCTTCAAAGGCACCGGAAACCTTGTCTGCTCTGTGGTGTTTAGCTGTGGTGAATTAGCCTGGATTTGAAAGCACACTTCCTTTTGCATGTGCATGTGACTGATGGAGAGCAGCTCCATGCACACAAATATGCTCCTTAGCGGATGAAGCAGTTATTTCTGGTGACATGTATGCGCCTAGCAGACAAGTGGAGAACTGCCCCTCTGCTGCATTTGCTGACATTTATCTGTGGATGCGTAACTGGAAAGAATTCTAAGTTACCGCCTTCAAGCCAGCTTGCAGATGGCAGGAAAATCCTCTCTTTCTTTCCTTGTGTGTTAATGAACAATATAAGGAACTCCTGTTCTAGGGCAGAAAAGGGCTTTCTGAAATGGAGCCAACACGCATAGTAAAATTTAGGTTCATGCTAGTTATATACTGAAACTTACTAGATGAACTTAGCTGGAACTGTTTTCTGTTCTCATGGGTTCAGACTGATCAGTGGTCAGATCTCCCACCTCTATTCCAGTATGTAGCTACAGTGCAGAATTAGCAGTGTTCTGGAAATACCTTGTTAGTAAGAGTTCCTTTTCCTCTAAGAAATTAATTTCATTCTTTTAGCCTTTTTGTATGCTGTGGTTCTGAATGAAAGCCTACATCCTGCAGATACATCAAGTATTAGTTATTTATAAAAATGCAAAAGTCAAAATAAGTGGGAGTACTGGATGTAAGAAAATAGGCATCACATTAAAGTCAGTGGAGATAGCAGGCTAATCTTAAAGCACTGCTGAGTTTGCAAATGACTGGCAGGAAGGAATGTACTGGATGGCACGAGCCTCACAGAATATGCTGCTATGCTAGCTAGATAAGAGCATCACAATAACATTACACTGAAAAATCTATTCAGAAGGTTCGGGTCAGTGTGCCAGTCATCACAGAGTTTATGTTTAATTGGGTTATTTTATTTTGCATGTATCTCTAATCAGCACATAGAATTAAATTTCTACAGAACAAAATGGAGGCATACAGACTAACTATGAGTAAGCTTTCCACCTACAGACTGCTAGAGTCCGTCTCTGTTGGCACAGTGTGACCTTAGATGGTGCTTTTCTCTCATGGCAAGCTGACTGAAATTGATTGTTGGTAGCCAGAGTTAGCAGAGTTGGGGTAAGAAAAGTGTTTATTCAATGCTAATCAGGACCTCAGGATTAACAAACTGAGTCCATGTATTAATTAACTTCCAATCTATCCACACCAGACAACAAATAATTAAAAGAAGTCAGTAACAAGGTTCTTATGACATGCCATGACTGGCCATTGGTTATTTATTTAACTCACAATGAGTTGCAGTGCCTGTGGCCAATACCTTGCATATGCAGCCCCCACTTGGGGTTGTGGTGTCATTAGAACCCAAGAAATGCGGGCTGTGTGAGGGTGAAAGAGCTAATGGATCGTGCAGAGTTTGTTCAATCCTCTCATAGCCCATGCCCATAGCCCATAGCTGTGCAGGGTTCGTTCAGTGCTCTCATAGACCATAACCATGACATGGCAGCCTACTGGTGGGGGTTGCACCATTCCAAATGATGGCTTCATGCAGTACCACGGCATCGTTGTGAGTTACATAAACCCTGGTGGGCTGGGATGTCATGTGAACAGTCCCAGTGCCATAAACAGTCCCACTTTGCGATAAAGTGACAGACTCTAGCACAGGCAACTCACGATTTCAGTAATTTCAAATGTCTCTTTAAACATTTTATCGTCTATGACTAATAGTCATTACAAACAATATAGTCAAGCACATAATATAATAACAAAACGTGAGTCAAATTAATATATCACTGCAGAACAGAGTTCAGACTCACTGCATGGCCTCAGCAAATAAAGCTGTTTTAAATGTAACACAAGGATCACAGTCTGGCAGGAACCAGTAAATCTTCACAAAGATGCCAAGCCCTCTTCCAAGAACCTCTCTCTAGGGTTTGATATAAAGGGGACCACCATAAATATTTTGCCTCTCCCTGACCACAGAAACAGAGCTACAGATTTCTTAAAGCCTCTCTATAGCTTTTATCCGAGAACAGTTTAGGCATGAATGTGGAATTCTGTACAAGAAATTCTCAATGAAACAAAAGTGAGAGTTTGTGGGTCTTGATTGTTGTTAAAGGAAGAATTCCACTGAGGAAAAAAGTGAAAACTTGATAATCTCTGTGTCCAAATCTATCAGCTTATTTTTGCCTCCAGGACTAGTGAAAACATCAGATAGTTGATCAACAGCTCTTGACATGACTTGGCTTAGCTTCCCTTCTTCATTTCGTCTTTCAAGCAAAGTTGCACCTCAAATGTCAGCCTCTTTGGAGATTTTAGCATTTTTAAAAATTGACATTTTTAAAATGAGCAAGGTTTCCTTCTAAAATAAAATACAAAAGAAATACATTCAACCAAACAATCCTAAAAAGTTTGATCAAAAGGAAGAAAACGACACAACATACTGAGTAGTGCTAAATACAGAAAATAATGTTAAGATGAAGTTGAATAAATCCAGAAGTATTTCTTATCCAACACATGTCAAAGAATGCTCAAATATTGGCAAGTAAATAAAAAGTCAAGAGGCAAGTATCTCCATGCAGACTGAATTTCCTAATTCATAAATAACATTTTATATTAGTGGGGCCTATTTTATACTGAAGTCTGTTCGATGAAGTCAGTATTTTTTCCTCTTTCTTGGATTTGTGAAATTTGGAATATATTTCTGTATCAGGGCTGCCCCCCACTGCCAAGATTTTGGAATGCCATTAGGCAAGAGAAGGAGGAATTGACTCATTCCACTTTGATAGGACAAGTTTCTTGTGTAGACAGCAAGCAGTGTAGGAGGATTAAAAAAAACTAGGGCTAAAGCTATTCTAACTATATTTAAAACTTCTGTCCAGAAACTCTGAACCACAGGGAAATCTGGTCAGATGTGCATAGAGGTAGATCCCTCATGTTCTAGATACATTTCAGACAAGATCTGTTGTCCTCCCACTTCTAAGCAGTTGTATTTGATATGGCTTTGAGTCACGAGCGAAGTAAGAATTGTATTGGCATTATTTGTTTATAGTGTACAGTTGCCTTAGAAGTATTAGGCCAGACATCTGTCCTTTTCTTTTCTGTCAAGTTACAACCAAGAATAGAGTTTTAATAGTTTGCATTTTGTATAGTAAAGTAAATGATTATAAATCCTAGAAACAGGGCCATCTGGATCCACTGAGTGGTTGTAAAATATAGGCTTAGTTGAAGAGAGTGGCTTTAATCCTTAGTCAATTAAACTATTGTTGTTTTTTACAGGAAACTGCACTTTTAGGAAAACTCCTCAAACTTCAGGTGTGGTTGGTCTTCACAGCTCTTGGTAAGATTTTATTGGATTCTGATATATGAAAACTGCACATTTCTTGCTTTGTTTTTTGCCACTTGAGAAATCTTCCTTTTTCTCCAAGTGGATTCAGGTATTTTGTTTTATTTATTTATGTACTGATTACTTTTCTGTGCCACCCAGAAACTATTCTTTGTTTACAAGATAAAGTTAAAAACCATAAAATATAACAATACAGTAAAACAGAATATAAAAACCATAGGGTCTGTAACAAGAACCATGCCAAAGGTGAGTTTCTGGAGAATAACACTTGTCTCAACCTATCCCAGTTCATAAAATTCACAGGGATGACGGATGCTGGCAACAACTAGCAGGTCTGTTAGTTTTGTCCATCAGATCAGAGCCTTCAGTGGGATCATGTTGCTGCAACTTTCCAAATCAAACCTGTTTTTTATACATCTGTCTTATAGCACAGTGCTAAGCAAGTTTAGTCAGATGTAAGTCCCTCTGTGTTCAGTGGGATTCCCTTTTCAGTAAGTGGGTTGGTTCATGCAACATGTGGCTTATTTAACCCATGATAACTTATGCCCCATGCTGGGCATGTGTGGCAACCATTTTGAATTCTTAACCCATTTGCTTGGTAGGTTGTACCATGTTGTGCAAACCTGGTCTTTATAGGCTATTCAAAGATTAAACATCTCTCAAACCACCCTCATACTATGGTTATGCAAGTGTTGATTAATTCTCAAATAACTCACAATGGCTGGGTTCACTTGACATGGCACAACCCCTGATGACCCAGTTCAGGGCCGCATATTGGAAATTTCCCACACTTGGCATGTGCTGCAGCTCATTGTGATTAAACAACCCATTGTAACCTGGCCATGTCCAGCTTAGTGTATTTGGGATTTAGGATTTTGCTTCCCAGTGTGCTACATGCTAAGATGAGCACAACAACAACAACAACAAAGAACAATGACTAGAAAAAGAGACATGGTAACCCTATCCTAGGGAGGACTTCTGTCTTGTATAAAAGCGGTCAGAATAGGACTCCACTTGGCCTACTGTGTTACAGAATGGCTGCTGGTAAGTTATGGAACACAAAATTCCAAATTCTGTTAAATTCAGAGTCATTCTGATAAAACTACCATTTTATGGTAACATCCTGTTTTATGAAGAGTGATGTAAATTCTTCCAGAATCAAGCAAAGAACAATCATGGTTGTGAACCATCAGAAGAATAAACAACTTAATCTGTTGCAGCAAGAACCAGAATGAATTTCACAGCCCTATAAAGACTAACACATTTATTATGACATATACTTCTGTGGACTTAGGTTTTTCAGAGTCATGAAGTCTTATGCTGAGTTAGAGAGAGAGTTGGAGGATAGATCTGTAAAGTCAAGTCAGAAAGGAATGGCATTCAGAAAGTATAAACTGTATTCATTTACTTATTGTTGCTGGGTGACAACACTAAAAGGGGAAATAGCTAAGTTGACCATACAAAATGACAAAATCCATATTAGTGTAATAGTGTTGTTCATCCAACCAAAAGATTACCAGAACACTGCAAGATCTCTTTATCAGTCAAGATGTTACAAACAGCTGGTTGGTTTTTGGGTAATTCAAAGGGAGAGGAGGAAAATGAGAACTGCCTGGATGTTGACATAATGGCGGCTGCTTGATTCCATTCCAATAGGCTCTGGCAGCTGAGGGGATGAAATCAGGGCTCAGCTGGAACTGCCCCCAGGGCTACTGGGAAGGCGAAGGAAATTTCAAAGAAGCTAGAAAGAAGAAATTTTTAAAAACACAAAATTCAGTTGTTGACATAGAAATGTCTCAGCCAGAATAACAGCTTAGTTGCCTACTCAAAAGCAAACTGTGGTAGTGTCAGTACATGGGTTGTAATGTACATTTTTGTGACTTAGAATAACTGATTGTAAAAGCAGAAAGTTATTCAGAGTGATTGAGCTCAGTAATTTATGTCAGCCCTTTTGCAATGTTATTCCTATTCTTCCTTCTTAACCTGCTTCTTTTAATGCATTTCCTAAGTAAAACTCCCATTCTATTTACATTTAACAAGTGGCTATTTACACTTTTAAAATTGTGGACATTATTTGCATTATAATGGGATCAGTGTCATGTCATTAGCCCTTGAAAAGATTGTTGTAAAAGACCAAGCCCTGGACACAATTCCTCTGCACCCTTCACTCTGTACACCTATCCAATGCCACAAGTATGAGTCTTTGAGACCATTCTTTTAAAAGAGTTTTGGTTGAGTATCATGTAATTTTCCTTAAGACTGAGGTCTGTGCTGTTGTTGAAACTTGTGACCAATCTTGAGTTTTTATGATGGGAAAATAGAGATGTCGAAGGACATGATCTTTTGCAAAGTTTTATTGTGCTCATCCAATCTAAATGAGTGAAGCTGCATAAGTGAGCATGGCATTAAGTGAGCTTGTGCAGAAAAAAATTATACTGGGTGTGTGTCTTCAGTGAATAGCTAGATAGGCAAATCCAACACAACTGCATATCCTGAGCAGAGCAGATTTATTGTGGAAAACAATGGTACAAATATCTCATCATCACCTGAACTGAGCATTCACGGGGTCTTTCCCCGAACACCATGGCAAATCTGTTGGCCTGTCTATCGGTGGTGGAGGCTGAACGGGTTTGCCGATGGGCTGTCGCTATGCGGCTGTCCAGGGGCTTGGGGAAAGCGTATGCTGACCAGGGGAGAGAGGGCAGCAGTAGCGGCAGGGTGTTGGACAAGCAGGTGGTGCCAAGCAAGGGGGCCTTTCCCTTTCCTCTTTTATTGCCCCATACTGGTAACACATGAGAAAACTTCATCTGCCCGCCCGCCTGCCCGCCCGTCCTTCTCTCTTTCTCTCCCCTCCCTCTTTTCTAAGCCCTACCAAAACCTATGTGCTACTTACTGCAACATGTATTTTAAAGGAAACAAACAAGAAGCAAACGTTTGAAAACCATCAAGAATGCATTGACGTAGACCAGATAAGGCCCTCTGCGTCTTGCTTTGCAAATATGCCTCTGTCAAGTAATCAAAGCACATTGTTACTGAACAAAACTGAATGAATGTGCAACGTGTAATCCCCTATTTATTATGTTTGCACTCTTCTAATGTATTTTAAAATGGCAGAGAAGAATGATTTTGATTTGCTGTTGATTTATAATGGTATAGCGCACACAGGTTTGCCATGAGAATGACTCCTCTTTGTTTCCATGTTCTTTTTCTCGAGAGCCAGTCACCTGTGTTAGGGCAAGGTACATTTTGCTTTACTAAAACAAACCCTGGGAATCGAAGAACATTCAGCCCCATCTGTCCCTGGCTGAATTGCAAAATGTGATTTATGTTGCAGCCGGCCATGAAAATAAATGATATTGCTTTTAATCAATAAATGTTCCTGCAATCTAGAACTTGAACAATGCGAACTAACAATTTTGCATTCATCTTTTTGAGTTAAATAAATTGAACTGGGACTTGTGACTTCCCAGAGTTGTCAGCAGGAATCTTGCTGTTGCTTTTAACACAGCTAGCATTAGCCCAGTCATTTTTAAATACATAGATGATAAAGACGAATATAGTATGTGTGTGTGTCAAGAAAGAAAAACGTATGCATGCATGCATGTGCTCACATAGGTGTGTTTGTATATGTTTGTGCCTTTGTACAAACAGAGAATGAGCTTTAAGCACCTTCTTGTAGGATTTCCCACTGAACAGTTCAGAAACAAAGGTGATATTTTTTGCGATTACATTTATTTTTCAAATGAAAAATAGACCTGGAGCCTCGGAAAACAGGAACTAGCATTTTGGTTTTTAGTTTGCTACTCTGGAACAAAGCTTTGAGGCAAAGTGTTGTTTTTAGTTTTTTTTTAAATAAAGACTATGAAACAATACCGTATGGTTTATTTTCCATTTTTATTGAGACTAATAGCCATAATTTACTTCTGAAATGAACATACTGACCATATTTGAATTACTTTTAATGAGTGTGTGAGTGTGTGTAGAACAATTATATTTGCAAAACCTGTAATAAAATATTCACTGAAGCCAAGGAGCATTCCTTATAATGGAAGGAAGAGTACATCTTCTTTTCATTTCAATAAGGTTTATGATTTAGATGACTGTTCCTGTTAGTTCTAGTTTGTATTTGTGTATGTTTGCTTCAGTGGATGAGTGCCTTGAAGTTTCCAGCCTTTTCTACTAAGATTTTCCATGAGGCAAACACTAGATTTTTGTAAAGCAACAGTTAATGACAACTAGGATTCCTTTTTTTAAAAAGAACTTTCTGACCACATTTTCAAATGTCATCTAAAGTCCAGATCCATTGACAGATCCAGAGCTGCTCTTGTCTGATTTCAGAAGCTTCTTTATTCATACAGAGCAGGTATTTGATTGACTTGAATCTTATAGTTTTCTCAAGCACCTGCCCGAGAATAACTATTAAAGAACTTTTGGAGAATAACTAATTAAGGACATCAACCAGTGCAAGTTTAGATAGGAAAAAGACACCTACAACTCCGGGCATGTCCCAGCTAGCACAGAGGGGTGGGATGCACTGGCAGTGAAGACCTTTCTTCTGCCTAAACTTGTATAGAATTGCACTGCAAGTCAATTTTTGTGTTGGGTGTTATAAAGAGGATGTTCCAGAGTGGATAACTGCACCCTTAAAAATATTATTGGTGCAAATGTTTTCACCTATTCTTGAAAACCACTCTAATTGTCAAACAGAACATCCATGTTCATTCAGTTCAAACATATTTACATATGTAAAAGTGCTGTATTCCTTTAAGAGCCTATCAGCTGTTAATGAAAAAGATACTTCTGCAGCTACCTAGTCCAGTCAGTGCAATGCCTGGATACTTTTTCCTGGTGGCAGGAAAAGCATGTACAGGTGATTCCAAAAGTACAGGAAACCTGACACAAAACCACTGCTCTTCAGCAAAGCAGGAGCCTGTGTTAACTCATAAACTAGATTCCCCCGCATTCTAAGCTTTATTCTTACACGCACAAATAAATAGCAGAAGAGGAGTAGCGCTCAGGATATAGAAATAAAGGCAGTGGGGCTTAATGAAATCTATAAAATCACTTCAAATTCCTCCCAGTTTTATCAAAATCATACCTAAACTTACAGCCTTCTACTACAGTAACTTATGTGAGCTGAGACAAAAGAGGAAGGGGCTAGGCCCTCTCCCTCCATTTCATCAAAGGAGAAAAGGGTTGAAGGCACTTCAAGTGGCATAGGTGGAAACGGTCACAGATGTAGGACACCTCACCATTTGTTTAGTAACTGCTTAACTTCACCTCTGCAAATGCAGCTCATGAAATACACAAATGATTGGATGGGGAAAACAGCCCTAAAATGTGGAGCACAATAATCTGGATTGTCAAATGAGCATGAAATGGGTGTTAAAGAATAGATTTGTTATTTTGTGCTTGTTTCCTTAGATTTTTCCCTTGCCTTAGAAAGATACACACTGCTCTGATCTCTGCTCTATTGTGCTCCTGGCCCTTAAAATGAAAACTGGCACTGATTTAATATCTTGCCAGCTTCCTAGTACTGCTTAACTGATGTGCGGGATCTTCTTTTCTCCTCTTCAAATCGGAACAAGGCAGACATTTGCAGGGGGAAAGGCAGGGATGCCTTCGCAAGGAGAGCTGCCAGTCCACCACTGGCTGTTTTGATCTTCTTTCAGTCGCCCAGTGCTCATTCCATTTCATGGCTGGTTAACTAGTACAAAGGTAGCTGACCTCACTGTTAACTTCGGCTTTTGAAGGGGCAGTATGTCCCTTCATTATGGCTCTCAGCAACCACTTCGCCTCCTCCCCAGAGTGCTTTGCTTCTCCTTTGACATTCACACAGGCAATATTTCTCCCCTCTGCAGTTTAACGCAAAGCATTGCTCTGACCTCTTGTATTGTATAACGGTGTAAGTTATTATTATATCACTTCCCCCTCCATTATAACAGGCCTAATGCTCTATGGATAACTCACTGGCCACGGACTGATGTCTTCGCCACCTGGGGATTGGTGCTGCGTATCTTGTAGCGTGCAACCTTTTGGCAATGAATGTGAGGGCATGCACTATGAGCCACCGGACAACAAACACTCCTCACAGGCCTGGGATGATCAATGGACAGCAGATTCCACCTGTCAGAGTTCATGCAGGAACTTCTTGCTCTTCATCTAACGCTAGCGCCCCAAGCGGAAACCTGCCTGCCAACTCACATTTAAAGACCTCTCTTGGAGGAAATGCTGCTGCTCAGAGCAATGCTATTGATTGCAATATTCACTTCCCTGCTTTAAGTCCCAGGAGGCACATGGTTACAAATGGGAAGCCCTTATTCCACGTCCCACAAGCTCCAGGGCTGACAGCGCCACAGTTTTTGAAGCCAAAGCAGCAAGAATTTGGAAGTAGTTTCACTACAAGCACAGTTAAAGGTAGGATTCTTTTTTCTAATAGTGCTCCATTTTATTTTCTTACATGCTCAGTAGTATTATGGCCCAGAAATGATAGTTTAGCAGTGGCCTGCAAAGATGCATCACAAGAACGTCAGATTTGAAGAGGGCTCCCGATCTGTCCTGCTTCCAGTCACATCCCCCTTTTCCGTGGGACTCTGCTTGTCTGTGTGCATGTTCTCAGGTGTGAATGGCTCTCTGCTCTGTTCACCACGGTTGGCCACCGTCTCTTTCTCACCCCCCAGCTAGTCTAGGTGCTGGCTTCATCGAACCATCGAGATGGGCAGGGCCTCGTGCGCCACCCAGTCCACCAGCCTGCTTGATGCAGGAAGTCCAGAGAGGAAGCCACGCCAAGGGATGGTCGGCCTGGGAGGCTCCAATCCTGCTAGCTGATGCTTCTTGCACATTGCTGTGATCATTAAACATTTTCTCATGATGTTCAGCCCAAATCTGCCCCCCTGTAACTTTAATCAGTTAGTTGTAGTCTCTCCTTCTGGGGCAGCAGAGAACAAATATTTGCCCTTTTTGATGTGCCAGCCCTTCAGGCACTGGATGCATCATGCAGCTTACGCTCAGTGTGCTGTCCTGGTCTGGCCAACTGGTGGTCCCAGTCATAGAACAGGCAGAGTCCTGGCTTGGACACAGAGTGTATTCAGGCATAATACTAAACCAGGGGTGGGCGGCACGCACGTGGCACCGCTGCCCTTCCATTGCTGCCGCCACACTGCTGACGTTCCTGGAAAGGGCAAGCAGGCAAAGCAAAGCACCGGAGTGATTTCCTGCTGAATTTCCGCTGCAAACCAATACAGAAGGGTAGAAGAGACAAATTTCCAAAATTAGCTGCCCAAAAGCAAGAGCAGGGTGGCCCCTGAAATTGCCCACCCTTGCACTGTTCAATAATGTAGTGCTACCTGCGTGAGCCGGTGCGGCGTGCTGCGCTTGCACACTCGCTTTCACCAACTCCCGCATGGAGTTAAAAATTAGAATTCAGTTTCACTTGAGCAGATTCCTGGTTTGCATGTAGCAACACACTGTGAATCTGCTTTAACGAAACTGAATTCTGGCTTATTTCCCCTCCTGACTGGGAGAAAAAGAGATTATGTGAGGCTGAAGCTTTTCTCAGTCTCTTCGAACTCAATGCAGAAAATCCCAAACTAGAGTGTCTCCAACAGTTACTGTCCAGCCTCTGTATGGTTTAACATCGTGTGCTGGTGTGTCATCAAAATACCATGCATTTAAATGGGCATAGTTTTTCTTAGGTATCATGGTTCTCTCCAGGCCTAAGAATATATTCTGATCACAGCGCTGGGATTTCAAGGAATGTGTAAGAGGACTGAGCATAAGAGAGTATGACTGAATTTTTGAAGAACTAGACAAAGTTCAGGGTCTGGAATGAATGTTATTTGAATATTAGCTAATGATTATTGCTGCAAAACCACGAACATTGCTTTCTGTGCATGTACTTTTCAGTGTGACTTCTTTTAAATTTATCTGTGGCAGACAGAAAATTTCAAATATACTATTTTATTATAGAACATTCTGTTTTATAGAATAGTCTATAAAAATTGATCTAGAAGAGTGCTAAAGCCATTGTCCCAGTTAACATATTCTTGGCTTGTGTGTAGTCGGTTAACATCTTACAATGTTTTATCAGTAAACTCTTTGTTTACTTTATAAGCTAGTGTATTGACTCACATATGAAAATGTGAATGGAATTAATATTCAATGGGAACAAGTGATTGATTTTTACCTCTGAATTATTAATGCCCCTTCAGTTTTCAAGCAGTTGAGGATATTAGCAATTTCACGCTTCTCTCCTGCATTTTATGCCTGACTGATTAAAGCTATTCACTCATTATTACTAGTGCAATCACTAACTTATTTCAGCTTAATTTATTCCTGATATACATAAAGTATTGCAATGTAGTCGTCTCCATGTTGAACTTCTCTTAGTATGTCTTAGCTTGCTGCCTGAATTGTCTTGCTGATCCTAAATCACAACATTTACCTTCCTTACTATTTTTTGGGAGAACTGCATGAAAGTGATGAGCAGTGTTTTTGCCAAGGGGCATGTTCTGAAGTTTGTTTGTTTGTTTATTTATTTAATTTATAAAATTTGTATGCCGTCCAATTACTAACATCTCTGGACAGCTAACAGCATAAATAAATTGATGACCCACTCTGGCTGCAATTAATAAAATACAATTCAATATTGAAACGTATTAAATATTGATTGAATAAAAAGGTCTTAATCTGGTGCCAAAAAACATATAATGACGGCGCCAGGCGGACCTCTCTGGGGAGCGCATTCCATAGATGGGGAGCCACTGCAGAGAAGGCCCTCCTCCAGGTACTCTGTCTCCTAATATCTTTCACAGAGGGCTCCCGGAGGCGGACTTCTGCTGCCGATCTCAGGGGGCAGGAGGGCAAATAGGGAAAAAGGCATTCCTTTAGGTATCCTGGTCCCAAGCCGTTTAGGGCTTTATAGGTAATAACCAGCACCTTGAATTGAGCCCGGACTTCGATGGGAAGTCAATGGAGCTGATAGAGGACTGGGTTTATATGAGAATAACACCCAGTCCCCGACAGCATCCTGGCAGCTCTATTTTGAACCATCTGAATTATCCAGACTGTCTTCAAGGGCAGCCCCATGTAAAGCGTGTTACAGAAATCCAACTGGGAAGTAACCAATGTGTGTGTTACTGTTGCTAGGCAATCTTCCTCCAGGTAGGGATGCAGCTGATGAATTAGCCAAAGCTGAATGAAAGCGCTCCTCGCCACTGCTGTCACTTGAGCTTCCAAGGACAGCTCCGGGTCGAGGAGCACTCCCAAGCTACAGACCCTATCCTTTAGAGGGAGTGCAACCCCGTCCAGGGCAAGGCCCAAGTCACCTACCCAGGAGCTCAAATCACCCACCAACAGAACCTCTGTCTTATCTGGATTGAGTTTCAGTTTATTGGCCCTCATCCAGCCCATTACCTCAGCCAGGCACCCGTTCAGTACAGCCACTGCCTCACCTGGATTAGTTGAAAAAGAGAGGTAGAGCTGGGTGTCATCAGCATACTGATGATGGGATATTATTAAATCAGAACATTAGGAGGTCCTGGAGATGGCTGTATTGGTTGTCTCCTCAGCTAGGGATGTTGAAGAAATTAAGAATGGATCCAAATAAGTTCATATTTCCATATATCTAACCTGCAGATTCTGAAGTGAAGTTATTTTACCAAATCTCAAGTGCAGTAATACTAATGCATATTAGTAAAAGTAGAATTGAAATCCTGGTCCCCCCGCCCCCAAAAAATCTGTCAATAAGTAAATGGCAGAATGAAGTGCGTCTAATAATGCATGAAACACAGAATGGATTTAACAAACTCTCTGTATTGTCATTCTCAGCACTAGCAAGCCGCAATAGGATAGAAGGAAAAGGAAACACCCACCTCTCTAAAATTAGGATATCTTGACTACTAATGAAAGCAAAGGTAGTGGGCCAGTTTTTGAAAAGCACCTCTGTCTCTCCCTTAGATTAAACTTTTATTCCTTTGCCTTACTGCAGTGGAGCAAGTTGTATCCAGATATAGTGGTTCCGTGTCAGTGAAGTTCTAAGCCAAAGAGCTCCTGTGTAAATCAATCTACAAATCCAATTGCAATGAAATTTGGTGAGAAATACCTTACACATGAACTTGTACCTTACACATGCAGTACAAAATGCAATCTCTGCCGTTTATTAGGTCTATACGTTTACAATAGTGGATGATTAAGCATGACTGTAATTTATTTGGTGTAACTCCAGGACGTCATATTTCCCGCTCTAACAGGGTGTGGAGGGTGACTGTCCTAGGAAGAAGCTATGCTGAGAACAGATTTCCCTTCACAAAGTGCCTCATTATGTCTTTGTCAGCAATATTAATGCATGCTTTTAATATATACTTAGGAGTATGCTTGGAAAGTGGTTTTTCTCCATTCTTGTAGTGATAACACACACAAAAGTGATATCTGCAGCTAACATTAAGAGTGCATAGCTATTGCTGAATTGGATACCACTTGGGAAAATTAACTGCTGCTGCTTTAGGAAGGGTGTGTGTGAAAGGAACCAAGAAAGGCTTCTGTCATCCAGGACAAGGCAACTTGTTGTGAAGCTAATACTCTCCTGCAGGTTCTGTTCTGCAAATATATTTGTTGTTGGCTTTGGAATAACAAGACAGGAAACAAATTTCTAGCATTATTAGCAAGTGTGTTTTGATTTAAGCAGGACAATGACAGTTCTTTGCTAGTGCAATAAAAAGTTAGAAACTAGATATTTGATAAAGTAGTATTTAACCCGAGTCTTGATTATGATAGTATTTTGTAATGCATGATTGGCCCGCATTTAGAGCAGATTGGGTGTTTTTGTTGCTTCCTTTACACTTTAGATGAGAAGGGCAAGTCTCAACATGAATAATGATTTGGCTCTTGATTTCGGTCAATACCATATTGCGTTCTGTATGCTAGTTACTCATTGCACAGTTTAGTTACAAGCAAGGGCAGCTGAAATGTCTGGGCAGGAGAGGCAGTGAAGACTTCATCCTGGCCTAACTCTTGTGAAATAAGGAGTTTACCAACATCTTTCATGAATACAACTGTTTTTCAGCAAAGGAAGCTGGGATTAAAGGCTGGGTTGCAGGGTTATATCCTGAATAAGATTTTGTAACTTCCTCCTCCTTGTTGTGCTCTTTTCCTTAGTTCATTCAAAAGAGCTGAAACCTCTGAAAAAGGAAATCTACATTTCCAAAACATGACCGGCAATAATAAAACCTTTCTCAATGGCCCTTGGGCTTTTTTCACGTTTTCTTCCCAGTTGTGTCCTCCTTTCTCCTCCCATTTGGTTGTCATACCATGTTGCCTTCGATAGATTGGGTCCAGTTGCAAGCAAGGCAGGAGGGTCAATGAACACGCAGCCCTAGCCGCGTTCCACGTCCCCAAGCTCCATGAGGCTTGATACCTTG